AAAAAAAAAAAAAAATATGTCAAGCTTTTAGAGTCCCGATGCATCAAGGTGCCATGTGGCGCAAAATTAGTATCATAATGCATGCTTATTGCTTACCGAACGTTAGTATCGCATGGGATTTGTCCCTATGAAAACCACAATTTAGGAGCCAAGCATGGTCCCAAAATGCTGCATAGGTAAGCATATATATGTTGCGATCCCAACATAGCAACCACACAAAAAATTTACGGTGAATAACACAAAAAATTGTCGGAAACGCAAGAAAACATGTAGAACCATTACTAGAAAATAGGGGTGGGCACGGTTCGGTTAACCGAACTTTTTGAGGTATTTGCTAACCGAACCGAACCGAGCAAATATTCGAACTCGCTAACCGAAACCGAACCGAAAATCCCGGTTAACCGAATTTTCGGTTAACCGAAAAAAATCCTACTATTCGCGAATTAACCGAACCGAACCGAACCGAGCGAACCTAACACAAATCTGTTTGTTCGCAAATAATAAACCGAACCCAACCGAACCGAACCGAAAACATTAATATAAATATAATATATAATATATAATATATAATATAATATATATTTTAATAAAATATATATTTTATAATATATAATATATAATATAATATATATTTTATAAATTTTAATATAATATACGGTTCGGTTCGGTTAACCGGGGTAAAAAAATCTTAAAAACCGTAACCGAACCGAACCGAGCAAATACTTCATTTGAGGTATTTGTAACCGAACCGAGTCCCCCGGTTAACCGAAAATTCGGTTCGATTTCGATTCGGATCTACGATTCAGCGGTTCGGTTCGAATTTTTTGCCCAGCCCTACTAGAAAAGTGGCAAAAAATTATAACTACCGAAAATCTCCATTCAAAAAATAAATAAATAAACATACAAACGCCACCACACGAGTCACAAATCACTTGACATTCACGATCATATAATGGAGGCCATACTAATCCTATGAAGCGCCATAACAGCATCCCCGACTTTGCAAAACCCCTTGGCCTTGCATGCTCAAGGGCAAACTCCAGGCCTCCTCCATATTTCAATCGTATGTTCATGTATTAATTTCGCGATTCTCATTTTTATCAATGTTTAATCAGTTTATATAAGTTGTCCTCCCTATCATTTTTCATCAGGTTCCTCCAGTTGTTGTTCTCGACTCGACACACGATCCTCCGCCTCAAAACTTTAAAGACTGTAGATGTTGAAAACCTCATTTACGTGGTTATGGTACATCGTTCTCGAGATGACAACCTTTCTATGGCTTATACGAAAAGTTGATTATTAAGAAGCAGCTGGGAAAACGTAAAAAACATGTGCAAGAAGCTGATAAAATCCGACAGGCCTGTGATAGATCGAAATGTTAACACAATTCTCTGCATATTCATTGCATATATGTCCCATAGTTTATCGCATAATTTTTATGCCATTTCTCAATTAACTTCGTCCAGTTCGCATAGTTTTCCGTATAATGAGATCGAACTTGCTCAATTATCTTCTTCTTTCTGTTGCATTTTTCTGTTGCATAGTTTATCGCATAATGAGAGCGCACATGCTCAATTAACTTCGTTTTTCTATCGCATAGTTTACTGTATAATGAGATCGCATTGGCTCGATTATCTTCGCCTTTGTGTGGCATAGTTTAACGCATAAGCTATTTCGCACTTTATCTATTTGCATAGTTTATCACTTAATTTTTTTTTTCACTTTATCAATTATCTTCGACTATGTGTTGCATAGTTTATCGCATAATTATTTTGCAATTTATCAATTATCTTCGCATGTCTGTCGCGTAGTTTATCGCATAATTATTTTGCACATTTTATTATCTTCGCATGTCTGTCACGTAGTTTATCGCATGAATATTCGCACTTTATATTATCTTTGTATGTCGGTCGCATAGTTTATCGCATAAGATTTTATTTTTGTTTTTATATTTTTATTATGCACTTTATCAATTAAATTCACCTCATGTCTGTCGCATAGATTATCGTCTAAATATTTCAAACTTTATCAATTATATTCATTTATCTGTTGCATAGTTTATTACATTAAAAATTTATAATTTTACACTTTATCATTTATCTTCGCCTCTCTGTCCCGTAGTTTATCACATAAATGATTTGCACTTTATCAATTATTTTCGTCTATCTCTTGCATAGTTTATCGCAAAAAATATGTTGCACTTTATCGAATGTCTTCGTCTGTCTGTCGCACAATTTGTTTCGCACTTTGTAGGTGAAAAAAGTAACTTATTAATCGGTGGTGTGTAAAATTTAGCCCATCTTTGGTAAAATAGCTATTTCCTCTATTCTATATACTAGAACACTTATTCAATACACGAGTGCTAATTAAGAAACTTGGCGAGCCCAGAATCAACTCTCTTTATCCACAGCTGAGAAATAAAAGCAAACAACTTTTGGTTGTAGAAACCAAAAGAAGTCATTCTTGATGATCTTCACCATTTGGATCTGCAAATTTCTGAAGGTTTGCTTGTCTTCACCACAGCTCAATCAATCACATTTTCTCCAGTAGCTGTGGCTTTTGCTACAGAATAAATGAACAACTTTTTTCATAATTCTCATATTTCTCGATGTTGACGTCAAATTGAATCTTGATCCGCCGAGCTGTGCATAGGTCGTTAATTGCTTTTAGTTGGTGTATACTGCATGGTGCTTATTTCTTTTTTTTTGCAGGTTTCTGAACTGTGATCCTCCCGTATTACATTTGCAGCACCTAGTTTCATTCCTCAGTTTTCTTTTTCAACGTAATATTTATTCATAGGCATGCAAGGATTGGATTCCACAAACCACAATAACATATAATTGTGTAATTACATTTACTTACGTGAGTATTTGAACCTCTGTTCGAGTATTTGAACCTCTGTTCAAACAACGACAATAAAACGCGCCATCATAAACCTGAGATTTTCCAACTCCACCATCAATTCAACCCAAAAGCATTGCAGAGATGGAAATATTAAACAGTAAATCTAAATAATTTGTGATCATAATGCATGTTTACCCAAACATTAGTCTAGCATGGGATTTGTAACTATGAAAACCACACAATTTAGGGTCCAAGTGTGGTCCCAAAACAAGCGTGGTCCCAAAACGCTGCATAGTTTATGTTGCGATCCCAACATAGCAATCACACAAAAAAGTTACCGGTGGATAACACAAAATAGTTGGAAACGCACAAGACCATGTAGAATCAGTACTGCTAGATAGGTGGCAAAAATTATAACTACCAAAAATCTTCGTTCACGAGTCACAAATCACTTGACATTGACGATCTTGATAATGGAGGCGGTCCCAATCCTATGAAGCGCCACAACAGCATCCCCGACCTTGCACAGCCCCTTGGCCTTTGCATGCTCAAGGGCAAACTCCAGGGCTTCCTCCGTGGACTCCTCGTGTGAAGCTCGCGCAGAGCCCGCACACAGGATCGGCACCAACCCCCTGAATATCAAGCTATGCCTGGCTGGCGACTCGTCGCTGCAAGACCAGTCAAACGAGTCCGACTTGATCTCCGGGACCACCGCTGAGAGTATGGGCATCCCTGGCCTGTACTTGGCAACCAGCTTGGCCGTGCTCCCGCCCCTCGTCAAAACCAGGATGAGAGCTGCGCGTGCCGAGTTGGCAGTGCGCACGGCGGATGAAGCCAGGCTCTCTAGCGGGCTCATAGGGACGGGAGCGTTGGCCATGATACGCTTGAAGACATCACCATAGTCAATGGTGCTCTCGGCCTCCATGCAGATCTTGGCCATGGTGCGCACGGCCTGCTCAGGGTAAGCCCCAGCGGCCGTCTCCCCACTGAGCATCACGCAGTCGGTGCCGTCGAGGACAGCATTGGCAACGTCAGTGGCCTCAGCACGCGTGGGACGTGGGGACTTGATCATCGACTCCAGCATCTGGGTAGCCGTCACCACTGGCTTGCCCTGGATGTTGCATTTGTAGACCATCACCTTCTGTGCCAGGAATATCTTCTCAATCGGGATTTCCATGCCCAGGTCTCCTCTGGCCACCATGAAGGCATCCGAGTTGGCAAGGATCTCATCGAAGTTTGCCACCCCTTCTTGGTTCTCAACCTACATTTATTTGAGGTTCAAGATTATGGTGAATATAAAATTTCATGACATAATATCTTTGTTGTTAAATCCCAAGTCCATAATAAAAATAAAACAAAAGATTGCTCATGATTTATGCTCAAAAGAATTGGTTCCAACAGTTTGAAAAACCATTCAACAACTCAAGAATACGTTTCTCCAAATGATCCTGAAAGCATTCATAGTCATGAGTCTTCGACTGCAACATATTGCTGATGACTTAAAAGGGAGAATTAATGAAAGCCCAAATGTCTCATGTCAACATTCGTATACTTAAACCACACTGATTTTTGTAATTAATACGAAAAGTCGCATGTTTCTGTAAAGATAAACGAAAACAGTCACTGACCTTGGACATGAGAAGGATGCTTTTAGCATGTGGACCCAGCAACTTGCGCACCTCGACCAAGTCTGAGCCTTTGCGAACAAAAGAAAGAGCAATCATGTCGATTTTGTTAGGGACCCCCCACTTCAAAATGTCTTCCTTGTCTTTATCTGTCAAAGTTGGGAGGTCGACCACAACTCCAGGAAGATTGACATTCTTTCGCTCACCAATAACTGCAGTGTTCTCACAACGGCACCGTACCAAGCCTTTCTCCTTATCACAAGATAAAACAGTGAAAGTGATTGTGCCATCTGCACACAGTATCACGCTTCCGGGCTTTACATCCTCAGCCAGCTTTTTGTAGCTCATGCAGATCATGTTCTCATCACCCTTGATGCTGTAGTCGGTGGATATTGTGATCTCTTGGCCCTGTTTCAGTTGCACAGGCTTGCCATCTTTCAAGAACCCAGTTCGGATTTCTGGTCCCTGAGGATCATTGAATGAATTGTTCAGCTAGTGTGCATATTGTTATATAACTAAAGAGATTTTCTATTCCAATCTGTGCATCATCCATTTTGCATATATCTTCTGTATAAGTGTATTAAAGACATTATAACAAACTGGGCCAGATTGAGGATCTGTGATATAAAAAAGATAACCAGCACAAGAAAATACACATCACAACAACAGAGGAGGAGTAAGCATGGATGAAACAGAATCATGTATGTTCACGATTTCACGAGATCAAATCCAATACTGATCCTAATCTTTTAAACAAAAGAAACAAAAACACCAAGAAGAAATGTTCACACGAACAATACGTTGTTTAACTACAAAATCCCAAAACATTATTTAATTCCATAAATTCACGAAGAAGTTATAAGCACATTTCCGATTCGAATCACACATTTTTCCACTATCCTTGTAAGCTTCGATCCAACAGAGCCACAAATCGAAAGAACAGAAAACAATTGATTCCAGAAATATCCGCGTAAGAGTGGAATCGGACAAAAACAACGACAATCTCAAAAGAAAAAGAAAAACAAAATAAAAAAAAGGGGAGTACCTTGGTGTCTAGCATGACTGCGCAGAGTATGCCGGTGTTTTCCATGGCCTTGCGGAGATTGTCGAGCGTTTCCTGGTGGTAGTCATGGGATCCGTGCGAGAAATTGAATCGGGCGACGTTCATGCCGGCCCGAAGAAGCTTCTCAGCCATGGGAACGGAGCGAGAAGCCGGGCCAAGCGTGCACACGATCTTCGTCTTGGGTCGCTTGACCCCGTCGGGAAAGAGGTGGTTGCCGCCGCCATTGCCGTTCATCTCCGTCGTCTCCGGCTGAACCATTTCGCTCTGCTTTGTACTCACGCAGAAAAAATATATTATATATATAATGGAAAAATTATGAGGAGAGACTGTTTGAAATTTAGGGCAGGAGGTCAGAAATATATATAACACTTTTGCCACGGGTTTTACGCACATAAATTAGGGCGGATTATTTCGAAAGGTCGATTTTGCTATGAAGCCAAATGTAAAATTTTTCCCAATTTTGACAATGTTCATCTAATTCAATTAAATACCGCATAGTGTTATAAAAATAATTAATTGAAGTGTCTTGTCTTGTGTAGGAAGAAATGTCAAAATTAATTAAAGTTACATTTTTAGTCCTATTGGTTTGGTTTAACGTTATAGTATTTTTAGTCTTAAGATTTCAACTTTTTTATATTTTGATCCTGTAATTTAGTATTTTGCTGCAATTTTAATCTTTTGTGACTAAAAATGCAATAAACTTTAAAATTACACGACTTCGAATAGATTTTTATTAGCAATTTAAATTATGTAATTTTAAATTTTGTTACAATTTCAATCTCAAAGAACTTGGTTGAATTTTAAAATTATAGAACCAAATAATAAAAATATTCAATTCTTAAACTAAAAACACTACTGAATCAAATCAAATAGGACTAAAAT